GGAGGGAAGAGAAGATGGAAAAAGCTGGGGGGAAAAAGGGTAAAGAAATAAATAAAAGCACAATGTGTGAAATATGGACAGGAAAATTAAAGTTTGCTTTTCACTTTAGTCATATCCCTATATGCAATCTTGCTGGCATTCCTTAAAGATTCCCCTTTTGATTATGTATTTAGCCCTAAAGATAATGTAGATGCTGTTGAGAGCAGACTATTCAGGGGCAGGAGGTGCAGCTCCATCAGCCTGACTAAGGACCCTCTAAAATGACTACAGTGTGAATTAATCGATTTTGCAGCAGCCCATATATTTAAAAAGTCAGCCTGAAGCCTAGAATTTTATTAACGATAAAATCTTTAGCATGTTATCCAGCCTCATTGAACTCTCTGCTCAATATTGTGCTTCCTCCGGGTTTGACTTCTGTGTACATAGGTCCTGCCGCGCAGGCCGATAGTGGTGTAGCAAGAGAACAGCGTGTGCAGCTCTTTCGCTGCATACTGTTCTCTGCCTAATCCGCTTTGCTCCGCAGCATGGAAACCACCCAGCTGCCCAGTTAGGAGTTCCAAACGCCCCTGATCTTAGTTCAGTGAACAAAAATTTTTTGTCACAATTTTATATCGATGCAGCACGACTTACTGTGTGTATGAGATCCAGGGACGGGTGGATTCCTTCACATCCTAGCAAGTTGCAAGTGGCCGTCACAGGGAGCCCTGCTGCACCACGTCACGGGGCCATGGTCGAAGTCCTGCTCAGAAGCACACGAACCAGCCTGCCTGCAGGTGTGAAGCCTGCCTCACTTGCAAGGAGCTGACAGCTCACCAGGAACTTGCTAGCTCTGCAGTCTGATATCCTGACCTTGAGAGCTGGAGCACTTGGATGTAGTTTTAGGACACCCTTCTCTTCCCTGGGCCTGTAAAGAGGTGGCATCTTCACCCTTCTCTTGCAGCAGCAGCCTCTACTTGGCATGCAATGCTCGATCAGACAGCCTTTGGAGGGATCCTCCATGAAAAGCCAGCACAGAAGCATCCCAGGATCCAGACCAAGCTATGAGATCACAACATAGACACTAAACACACTTGGTGGCATTCTCACAAGGCAATGGCAGGGTCTGCAGCTGATGGGCAAAGCCACTGCTAGAACAAGAGGGCAGCCTATGAGCAGACACAGAATACTTCTACAATGCAGAGCAGCCGTGTGAGATTATCAGAGGAATGTGCTTGTATTTTCTTTTAAAACCACCTGATGTACTGCCAGAGGCAGAGTGTAGATACTGAGGACTGGGGAGTGTTCTGGCTCTGGAAATGCTGCCATTAGCAGTTGTACAAGGGCAGCTATAACCTCACGTGAGGACACAAGCATTCATCATCTCCTGTTCTGCCAGCCCTTACTCACTCTCGCGTTCACCGTTTCAGCAGCATCCTAGCACAGGCAGCAGTGAGGAAAGCTCTTTCACGTACGCCTGTTTCCACATCTTGTCATGTCCTTTATGCTCTCCCTCATCTAATCTGGCCAGGAACAAAGTAGCTTCACATGCGAGGAGGAACAAGATCAGTAACTGCGGAGGAGATATTGGAAAGCAAGCATTCTGCATTTAATGCAAGGACAAATGCAGTGAGACACTGCTTTGACCAATCCACATACTAATGCTCAGCCAGGAAATATGTATGACCACATGTGCTGGAAAGCCCATTTCATTTTGGATCAAAACAGGAGATTAATTAAATGGAGTTATCCTGACTCTTCTCTGCCTGTGAAGCAGCATAAAGCTTATTCAACCTGACACGGAGAAAGGACAGATGAACCAGGGAGCAGACACCTTATTAAGGGATTTAACATTTTCAGACTTTACCTCTCCCAAACTTTTGAGCTTTCCAAGAAGTTATGAGAAAGCAAGTTACTAATTGCATTGCCTGCAACATTGCACAAAGCTTTCTCAAATATTCCAAACACGATTGTTTCAGGGGTCATGCTAAAAACAGGTTAGGAAAGATGTAATTGCAGTGAAGCCCATACAACACACTATGGCCAATAAATTAGACTAGCATTGCTTGCAGGCACTGAACTTTGCTGATTCTCATTCTCTGGTTAAATCAGGTTCAGGGCCCTCACTGCGTAAAAGGTTAAGGAGAAAGTCAAACACCTCTCCTTCATGTCTGGAAAATAGTAAAAAATACAAAAAGAAAAATGTATTTCACTGAGACTAAGTTGATATTGAGAACGCAGACACACTGAGGTAGTGAAAAACTACTAAGGTAAAATACCAGTTGTGCTGAAGGCTGTACCTTTCAAACGAAAATGAAATATCCATCATATTTCTCCACTGAAACAACAGAAAAGTTGCATTATTTAGGAGAATTCATAAAGCAAGGTTACTTTTGTACTCTTAAAGATAGGAAAACTGTGTTAAAAAATATAACACACAAACTAGGAAAAACCCTAAATTCACTTTAGAAGGCACATCAAGGTCTCAGAATAACCAATTTGCTATTGTCTAAGTTAATAATTATTTAACTATTATAAGTCTTCTCAATATATACTGTTTTAAAAATTTAATCTAAAAAGAACCCACTTAACTTTATCTATATACTTAAGAACTCTCATTCAACTTTTAGAGTAAGAAACAAAACAAACCAAGTTCTCTACTTAAAATTTCCATGGGAAGAAGTATAAAAAAGTAGCTATCAGAAGGCTGAGCTTTACCTGAACATTTTCAGCAAATAGTTACAGAAAGGACCTGTAAATTAAAAGTAGATAGAAGAGGTGGTTGGAACTGCTGGGTTGTGGCAGACACCCTGCCCTTCAGCTATCTGCCTGTAGCTGTCTGTTCAACCAGTGCAGCTCCACCTCAGGGTTATATTAACTGGACTCAAAGTAGTTGTCCCAAGAGAGCTCAATTACACTTCACTGAAGATAAGGCACTCTTGTGGCTGGTCAGTCTCTTAAACATTGTTACTCCAACATAAGTGTTGATTGATTAAACTGGATAGAACTAACATTAAGTATTTTAGGGGCACACCCTTTACTTTTAAATCTGACTCTTAACCTATGTGTCCAGAAGGCACAAATGGCTCTTGATGATTAACTGCAAGCTTTATTCCTGTTTATTAAAGTACAGCCTTAATTTATTCAAACATCTAAGGGAGCTTTGTTACATTTGTAACAATGTAACAATGAGTACAGTATTTTTAATTTATGAAGCTCAGATTTTACTACTACAGTAGTTTTAAAAGAAAGGTATACCTATAATTAAATGCATAAGTCTTTCAAATAAAGACTTCTGAATTAAATGAATCCTTTTTGTATAACAAGGTGTCTTTTAGATAGCTAATTCAAAACTTTAACAGATATTATAGTAAAAAGAATGAGACACTTTCAGTCACTTGAGCGAGCACTGTTGAAAACAGTGACAATGTGTATTACACTTCTGTAGATTTTTAACCGATACAAATACTCATCTAGAACAAGAACAATCAATAATTTTACCAAATATTTACAAACTTTAGTAATTCACTCAGGTGAGGTCAAACATAATAGATAATGGCTAATTTTAAAACACAAACACCAGACATAAGATGAGATTCAAATTGGTATATTCTGAGTCCATTAATGCAAACATCAGTTCAACACACATCTTGTCAGAAGTCTGAGGTATCTAGTGCAACGTGGCAATAGATTTAGACATACTAAACTGTACCGACTTATGAAATCTCTAACACATACAATAAGTAACAACTCAGTCTGCTCTTTCCTCTTCCCCCATCAAGCACAGTTTAGCTCTGTATGGCTAAAACTGTGCCTTCTCTTCTGCGTGTTACAATCACTTTATGGGACAATTGCTCTTAAATCCCTGTTCTACAGTAACTACTTAAAATATCTGAAAACCTAAAAACTTTCACCCAAACTGTCTTTTCTGTCACCTTAAATCAGGACACCATGCTTAATTACCTCCTGCCTCTACTAAGCCAATGAAGCCTCCTGGTTTGCCAGTATTTCCAAGTAACTATTGCAACTTAACAGTCCTGTCTGCTCTACCCGTGCTTGAAATACCACTTTATCACTTCACTCCAGACAGGTAGGGCAGCACATCTCCTCTCCTACCATTTGCCTGTTCCCAGTTTTTAGACAATGGCTTCACGGATTGAACTGCAACAGATTTTAAAAGCTTCCATCATACTCAGAGTCTATGTGCTGAACTGATTACCTTCCCAGATTACATCTCACTGAAGCCCTTGCTCAGGAAGGTAGCTATTACTCTTTGTAAAGTCTGCAGGCACCATTTTTCTCTGTTGCTGTTGATTTAGGTTTTGATCAAATAGATTTGGCAACTTCTGTACTCCGTACTGACGGTTGGAGTTGCTGAATTTTATTTCATTCAACTGAAAGCAGCTTTATTCATCTGGGTATCCACTCAGCATCTCTGTTCAACATATGCATATGTTATGGTGTTTTTAATGTAGTGGCAGCACCCAACTTCATTTACACTTTGTCTGGGACAATTTAAATACGACTGAGCATGAGAAACTGGTAGAATGGCTGAGAGACAAGCTGCTGGATTATAAAGCGGTCAGAAGAAATTCAAACGCAATAGAAGAATAACAGGAAGACCTGGCAGTTACCGTTGCACAAGAAATAGGATGGGCAGTTCCAGGTATAAAAGTAGCTGCAAAATCTGTGAAGCCTGGAATGGAACATGAACCTGAAAGGTGGTAACTTGAATGAGAGGCTCAGGCATAACAAGAGATGGGGAGATAAACAGGATGCAAGGAAATGTAGAAAACAGTGCCAGAGTTGCTCCAGAACAGCCTGTTTAGAAACCATGACTGAAAAACTCACTGCAGTGAAAACATCAACCAACTGCTTCTTTTATTTGTTAACACACTATTTCAAAACAAAGTAAACATTACTTTCTAGAAATATATTTGCCGTCATACAACAGTAAGTAAAAAAATAGATAATACCTCAATTGCAAAATCTCACAATGTAATTAGATGCTAACGTGCCGTCCAGTACACTCAAAGCATGTACAAATATGCCCCAAAAATGGTAATTTCATAGCTTCCTGTTGGCTCTGATACAAAGTAAGGAAATAAATTGTGATAAACTGTTTCCTTGATAATTTTCCCAGCTGGAAACCAGTGACTTAAATTATAGATTAAATGACACTACAACCAAAGTACAGTAGTAGATCTCAGCACTACTATCTTAACAAAAAATTTCCATGCAGGCAAAAGGATCATTACAACTTTAGATGTAATACCATGGTTTGGGATCCAACCAACTAATTTACATGGTTTTAATACTGTTATTTTTAGGCCTTTTTACTTCCTTAGGGTTGTCTTGTATTTTGGCTTTTTACAGACTTTTTTATTAAAAAGTTTGTGTTCTATCACACACACCTCATCATGGATATAAGAGGGCTGTATCCTCAGAAGAAAGGAGAATAACCTTAGTACAAAATGGTAACTCTGGGGAAAGTCCACTTCTCTGTAATGAGCCAGATGACCACACAATCTGAAAAGAAAGGTAAAAATTAAAAAAGCCCTAAATTACAAGTGTATTTAGTTAGTATTTAGCTAGCATTAATATATTTAATTGTAATCAGATAAAACCTCTACATTTTACCAACAGCATAAATCACAATTCTGGTCTACAATGTCAATTCTGTGAAGGGATCCACTCCTGCAAAACCTTGAAGTAGACCAAGACATGTTCAGAGATGGTGCAGACACAGTAAGAAGGAAAAGCCTGTATAGCTTCTTGCCCTATGAAGCAGGATCATACTCAACCAGGCAAAGAATACATTCTTTGCCACTGAGGACTAAATTGAACCAGTGTTCATTGTGCCAACTTTTAGCAAATTTAGCAAAGTGTGAAGATGGCTAACTTGCCCTATTTTTAAAATTCCTAAGACTATCCAATGCAGACACCCCAGGCTCTTTTCTAGATTCTTTGCCCACACTCTCCATAGGGTCCCCTCTCTCCTCTTCCTGAAACTATGCCATGGGATTATAATCCATCCATTTCTTGCCCATTGCCTCTGTGTGCTAAATATAAATCACCTGTCTAGAAACAAGAGAGAGAAGCTGAGTTCCAGTCAAGGGAGTAATATAGGAAACACTGGGGCAAACATTGACCAGATTGACAGAAAGTAATTAGTGCTATAGCAACCTTCTGCTTAATTATTTTGTAGCTTTCACAGTGAAAATGTTAATGAAAATGATGAGTTGATTTTATTGGTGAAATATATAATAAAAACAGTAGGCTGAACTTGCTGGTAACAAGTGTCAGACTGAACAAAAGATGACACAGAGGACAGACTGCAGAGACAGCTCTGTAAACATTAAGTTCAGCAACTTAGGTTGGAAAAATATCCTGTTCTGGGTTAGACTCAAATTTGTTTTTATTAAAAGTTGTAAGTTTAAAATAGTATAAAATCCAGCTGTTTTGATTTTTTTAAAAAATCTTTTACATTGATAGGGGGATTCAGGTGCTATTCACCATAAAATCCTATGCATGTTCTAGCTTACTAGGTATTGCCCTGGGATGTGGAGAAACAGAGTTTAAAATTTCCCCTCTGTCTGATTCAGAGCAGCGGTCTTAAATATTCACCAGAACAAGGACTGGAATCTGTCTGTCCCAATTTATGGGCAAGTGTGCTAATTACTAGACTATAGAGTCATTTGCTTGCTCCCTCTTGCCCAACAAACATTTACATTTTACCTCAAAGTGGAGGAACAGACGGACCCATCCTGGAGTGTCATGCAAGCCACACTTCAGGGAGCGGAGTCTTTGTTTAAAGCCTCCCAAAGTCTGGCAGACTGGAAATCTGAAACTATCATGTCGTACATCCCATCCTATGGACTATCTCACGTTCCCCAAAAGCTGCCAGTGACTTCTTACAAAAACTAAATTTAATCAGATGTTTCAGCAGTGTCAGAATGCACTAGCTGACCCCCACAACCCAATGTGTTGGCTAAATTCAAACTTCATTGAGAAATGTTGTTTGAACCAAACCTGCATTTTTTGCCTAATATGAATTAAGACATTTTGCTATGGGTTAGTCAACCCTAAGATTTAGCAGCTACAGCTCTGATGGCCGTTTAGGTGTCAAATCTCAGTTTCCATTGGGGGGGGGGGCAGGGGAGTGTTATTGTATATTCTGAGGCAAATGTATAATTACATCAGTATTGTAAAGCACCTATTTGATTAACTGCAGTTACACCTTTTCACAAGAGTACCTAAACACACACACATTTTTGCCCCATTTTGTGCTATTTTTGTGCTATTTACCCTAAGAGCATATCTGAAGAGTTAAAAAAAAAATCCAGGTGATTTTAAATTTAGATGTAATAAGGGAAATCCATTTTTCTCAACATTTTTCACACATTGTAATACCTCATCATATATAGAATCATAGAATCATTTACGTTGAAAAAGACCTTTAAGATCATCTAGTCCAACCGTAAAACTCCTATCACCTAAACACTTCTATAGCAAATCAATTTAGAATCCAGTTTAAAACTGAAAGTTCTAAAATAAAAGAAAATGTAAGAGCATTTCCCCAACCATTTGACTGATCTCAGCTTTGCCCACACTGAAATCATGCTTTAGTCCTACAATTAAAGCATTTCAGTAGTCCCAGTTAGACCATGCTGATTTTTAGAGAAAGAGAATTTGTAAGTTTGTTTTTACTTCTATTACACATACACACACTTGCATAGGATAAACCCTCATATCTGAAGGAGTAGATGTTGTTTTCCAAAGTTAAGTAAGTGTCAGATGTATAATTAACTACTTGCATTGCAAATGATATAATGGGAAATTTAACCAGTAAGAAATTCAAATCTTGTTTCATGAAGGCTATGACAGTTTGCCATTAACATTTTAATATATTACATATGAAAATGTAGGCTTAAAAACAGACTTTGCATGAAAGATTATTCACACAAACATACACCGAAATATCCACTCATTCAGTGTGTACATAAGATTTACGCAAATTTGTGGTAAAGGGATTATTACCTCTCCTCCCTTCAAAAAAAAAAGTTCTTATTCATACAAAAGAATGAATCCATGCAACCAAAGCTCTTGTAATATAACACTGTGTTTACATTATTCCAACCCATTTCTGTCATAGTGGATATGTGAAAGGTAATGTGAAAAGAAAATAGAGATAAGCAAATAAATCCACTGAAAGACAGAAAAGACTGCATACATGTAAAAGCCAGTTATTTTCAAGGGGACTATTTAAAAAATCAGGAACATATCGCTAATACTCTGTAGGGGCTATTGCTCTCTTAAGCATGCCATTTAGAAGTATATATCAGGTAAAGATTTAAGATGTTATTCAATGCACTAATGAAATCTCATTTCACATTAATGTAACCCGACCTCCTTTCCAAAAAACACCCTCCAATTGCACACATGAGAAATTCAGGAGAATCCAAGCCATCTGCAAAGTTCATCTTTTTCACTGATACTCACCGCTACCTTCCTCTTTTGGATTAGGGTTTCATGATATAACCAATGGCAGAACTGAAATCTGGTGTATGATCCAGAAGCCGTATCTACGCTACCCGGGGAGTTTACAAGAAACACTGTTTTAGATATTTCCTATTCCTTGGAGTAAATGCTGCTGAACTCCTACACTCTCTCAGCAAGGCTTTTGCTGTCTGTCTCTGGCCATGGTCCTCTGCCAGCACCCACCAAGTAGAAAACTCACCGTTTTTTGCAGAATTCGATGCAAGAGGAGAAGGTATTAAAGGAAGAGTGAGAAGTTCGACAGAAACCAGGCAGATACTCAAATCAGGACATGGTTTAGTAGGCATGGTGGTGTTGGGTTGATGGTGGGACTTGATGATCTTAAAGGTCTTTTCCAACCTAAACGATCCTATGATTCTATAAATATCCATATAACTTTGTACAAGGCTGGATTAGCTGGGCTATCATTCTCCTTGCTACTTAGGTCCTTTAAAGAAAATAATTTTACTAACAAATACATATACCCTTAATTGAAAAAAAAATTCTCTTTCACTTGTGAAGGCAGGATTTGGGAACAGTTCTCTAGTAAGACAGACACGAAACTTCCTTAATAGCATAAAATGTTTTCTTTTCCCATATTTCTTCTTTTACTTTTCTAGTAAAATAAATTTTATTCTTTTACTTTTCTACTTGTAAAAAATACAACTGTTGATTGCCGATATGCTTAGATGAAATAGTGGTAAAGTCCTTTTCACTCGTAATTATTTTTTTTTAAATATGGTCTGGAGGCATTAATTGCCTGCTTATTTGAACTCCGACTGCTGATTTTAACTTTAATTTTGATTAAGGCCACCACAAAAGCACTATAGTGATTTAGAAAATCAATTTCCTATGCTTTTGGGGGGCCAGGGGAGAGAGAGGAATGGAACCATTTTTCCATTCTCTGGAGAGCTGTGGTGCAAGTTTTTTCTAAAATACTATGAAGAAGAAAGTGAAGTGAGTATTTGTACCTAGCTGCTACTCTTGCCATGTGACTCTAGTTGTGGATTTTGTCTCATCTCCTCTCTTCTCAAAAGCTCACTTTGATCACTCTTCGTATTACAATTTGTCTACTCCCAATCCAAGACTAACCATTCTGCATGTGCCCCTTTCTACAAATTATTTTAACTATATGTGAATACATAGCTGTGCACACACCCCATATTTGTCATTTGTAAAATATATATATATGTGGCACTTTACTTTCAGGGGAACTTTCCAAAATGTATTTAACAAAAATTTGAATACTTACTTCTCAGTACATAGTTTAACAGTACACAGCCAATAGTCAGGGTTCATGGCGGTAAGCAAACCACATTTTTCTTGCAAAATTCCCTTCAGGCTATGCCCGTGAAAACAACTCCCATCTGTGTTTTCTTCATACCAGCTTAACTGAAAACTTGAAGGATTTGGCTTTTCAGCAGGTTGCACTGAACCAGACAGCTTGCCAAACTGATTTTGTAAGTTCACAACCATTCCTGTACAAATAGAAACAAAAAGAACAAGGCAAAAGTATTAAGTATTAGAATACTGTTTAGAGGCAATTAATACAGGAAGAAAATAGGGTATTTGTGCCATATCTTTTTTTCTTTTTTTTCTTTAAATCTCTGTGTGGAATACTGAGAAACCTTGAAGGTCTGTATGTTCTCTCCCCCATTCCATTTAAAAATCAACTCTGTCGTGTTTTAGGGAAAGATTTTGAAAGATAATTCAAAATGCCAGGTGTTTCATACCTAATAATATTAATACTGGGGCACTCCAAAAGCATTTCCCCAAGTAAAATCTGTAAAATCCATTTGATACTGCTGGTATTTTTATGCTGATAGAAAACACAGGCCAGGATGCCTTTCGCTATTATTTACCTGGTTGTATGCTATCTCTCAGACTGGCTAAGATTTTTTTAGTAGTTTCCTGTGTATCAGAATTAAGGAAGCCTGGTTTCATACACATATGGATTTAAGGTTAAGCTTTTCCTAGTGCAAATTTCAACTGGGGAAAAAAAACAACAAAAAAACCACTTCACCTTTCCTCACTGTTAGTGAAAGAATGACAAATTTTCATAAGTTACTGAGGCTGAGAAGGGAAAGAATGTATGACAATAGATCAGCACACAAAATACAACCACCTAAGCCTTGTTCCCCTATGGTAAAAAGCAGGTTAAAAACCACTGTTGTTGGAGCTTCAACTTCTTTTATGACCTGTATCTGAATAAAATCATTCATAAACTGGGAAACAAAGCAGAAAAGACATTCTAAAGGAATCCAAGGACTGGGAAGCTTATCTTTCAAGAGGACACTAAAATCTACCATCAAAAACAAAGGCCAAGGAAGGTTTCTGAAAACCTGTATCTGGCACTTTTTAGAACACTCTCTGTCTCTACTATTTTAAATTTGTTTTAAGATGAATCTTGCCCAGTTACAATGGCATTATGTGATACTCCTGCCTGCAACAACTAGTGGTAAAGCTCCATAATCTAAGTGGTCCTCTTCTAGCTTGAAAAGAAGCAGAGCCAGAAGAGGAATCTAGAGTGCCACAGAAATGATGAACAATTAATCATTATCCACTTTTTCTTATAAACACAGGAATTAAAGGGCATCTGAGCAAACAATCAGCTTGAAATAAACAAACCTAAACATGTTTTTCCATGGAACATGACTTGACTGCAGGATCACCCCTACTGAAGTTTGAAGAGTAAGAACATTCAAAAAGCCCCAATTGCATTCTTGAAAGAGAAATCCAACGTGAGTTATTCAAACCAAACAGGATTATACAAGTTGTTTGCAAGTCCTTGAACCAGTCACTTCCAGAAACTGGAAGAGTATATAAAGGGAAAAATATCACTTGCCACACTTAACACCTCTCTCCAAATATCTGTTGCTTACTAGATACTCTTAAATGTAGGATGAAGAACTTCAGACCTAATTTGGTTGAATAGAATTCTGGTTTTCCGTATTTCCACAGATAAGTGGTTTTGTTGGGTTTTGTGTTTGCTTCTACATCAGCGTAAACCCCAGTCATTTCTTGTAAGTACTTCTAGAGCTACTAAAATAAAGCAGATGTACCTGCATTCTGACCACATATAGCTATAGCTATTCAAGTAAAGTCACGTTCAGACAAGCCTTCCTCACTTTCTATAGAGGACTGCAAGAAGGAATGGGAGAGGAGAGGGACATGCAAGGTCTACCAAAGGACATACTGGGATATCCATACCAAAGGATATGAGAAACTAAAGGAGAAAACGGACAGAAAAGCTATGGAAGACTAACAACAATTCATGAAGATCACAGTTATATAAAGGCAGCTGACAAACCAATAAAGTTGAGTACAGAGTACTCATTCTGAGATGTGGTTCCGTAGGTCATTAGGAAGACTGGGAAAGGCAGTTTCAGTTAAGCATGAGGAAAATGTCTGTTTGAAGAATTCCAGCCACAGGTTGTAAAATAGTACTACATTAATTGTACCCAGAGATGAAAGAGAGAAGGGAAATTATTTTAAGATATAAATGTTATCACAGTCAGGGCTGCAGATTTTCTATGATGGGAAAAGTTGGAGCAGATTTCTGCGTTGCTGGGAGGAAGCAAAGTTTACTCACGTCTTCTCTTAAGAACTTTAGATTTCTTCTTGGCTGAATAAAACAGTGGCTTTTCACATCTCCACAGATACCTACCAGTAAGAGACATAACAATTGTTAAGAAAAAGAAAGCTGAAGCAAACAAGTAAAAGAATAGTAATTTCTTACAAATACTGCTAGAGCTATTAAATTAAAAATCAAAATAATCTAATGGTTAGTGCTATTAAAAGTCACTGACCCCCCCAACACTTTTAGGAAGTCTTTTTTCAGAGTAGGCAAACTGGGGCATGTAAGCCTAGATTTAGTGTAATCAGTTAATTGTTCAGCTGTATAAGCTACTTGTCACAGAAAGTGAGCATTTAATTAATATGCTGGATAAACATTATCAGTGTAAATAGGAAATTAAGATAGGGATTTAATCACTCTATTTACCCAAGCTTAATGGATAGAAATGTGGAGCAAATTCCTAACTTTTAAAATTTCTGTAGGGGTCAGGATTTCATGTAAACTGTCTACCTTAAAAAAGTACTTAAAAACCTCTTACTTGGCTCTTTCTTCATCCAATTTCTTTTGCTCCACATCCAAGGAACATTTTATCACCTTGTACCACTTTTTGAACTCAAAATATGGACCACCTGGATAAAACATACACATTTTAGGTTGGGAAGAAGTGAAAGAAATGTGTAGTACACAGAAGGTGGTCTCCACACAGTTAGACCCTGTGTCTTCCACCTGTATACAAACCTATCCTGAATTCTATGTGCTTAAAGAAAAGATACTTGATCTAACAATTCCGTAAGAAAGAGAAATGCAGAAATGCAGTGAAAGAACAGCACGTCATAAGCGCGATGAAGCCCCTTAGCTTAGAATAGACTTCATAAATTTAGCATAATTCAATCCTTTTCCCTCCTTTCTGAAAGTTAAGCCTAGAAACTACCTCCTCTCTACCAAAGGAACTAGATCTCCACAGTGCGAAGTGGCCTCCACCTGTTTGAAAGCTGACTTCAAGGAATTAATGTAACTATTAAGATCTAAACGAGCTCAGATGTAAAATTTCAAACAGTTTCATCAACTCCCCACTGACTATCCTACTAGCCATGAAACCTTACAGGGCTGGAAAGATAAACTAGACAATTGTATTCACTTCTTATCAGCTTCCCATGTTTCTGAGCACAGGAACTTCACTCCTTGATATGTGAACAAATATTTACCAGCACATGCAAAAACATTAAGGCATATGGCATTTTAGCAGCACATTTATCATTGGTGGTCCAAAGAGGCACAGGACTGAAGCAGACCAACTGTGTACAGTAAGTATAAGAATTCCAAACAGAACTATGGTGTAGATTTATATATTTAAAATATAATCAACTCTTATTACCCGTGGGTGGATTATCTGCACTGCGAATTAACTAGGCTTTGGATTTCCCCATCACCCCAGCTGCACTGCATGTGATGTTTGCATCATGCTTAGCTTTGCCAGCTAGCTGTTTAAAGCATTTTTAAGGTGAATATACTGTTCTTATAATCAAGCTTATATACATATTGTATTAACTGCATTTTTGCTATTGGGGTTATCCTGCCACAGGATGTCTTAAATGCTAGAAATATAGATGGACTCAAAAAGCAACAGACAAATGAAGGAAAGACAGACCCTTCAGTAGTTCTTAAAATTCAAAGGTGTGGATACAACTTCTTTTATGAACTCCTTAAACCCAGAGGTTTAAGTAAGTACTCCTAAACTGCTGGGAGGGCAGTTTTCTGGGAGGAGGGTGTGGAAATTTTTGTTAAACTTCATATGAATTATTAAGCATCTGTCACAAGCAAAACCATTGTCAGAGACATGATGCTACACTATAATAACCATTTACCTGGCCAGTACTGCTAGCCTGATGTTCATATAGCAGAGCTGACTGGAAAATACACAGGTCTGTGATATACATACACATATATACATCTCAATCAATTCTTATTTAAACATAAACTGTACTGTGTATGTGTGCAGTTCATAGAACATACACACATAAGCACACTAGGTAACTACAACTATCTACTGTACAGCTTCCAGTCTGGCTTGAAAGACTGTAGGAGCTGAAATACTATTTTTTTATTTAAAAAAAACAAAAAAACCTAGAGAAAGGATAGTTAAATTGAGAATGCAGTCAACATAAATGGGATCTTTAAAACTCAGTATTAACCATTATTCATTTCAGCACACTAACTTTGGGAAAATGCCAGAGGCAGTTTTGAGCTCTGGCACTAATCAGTGCTCTAACAGAAATTCTCACCTCAGCTCCTCTGTGCAGCTGCTCACCATCATCCCAACATTTTAAGGATAGGGACAACATAACAGAGCATATGGATCATTTTACACCAGCAGATTTTAAAGTAAAAAAAGTGGGCAAAGAATGAGCTGTTAATTCCTGAGGGCAATGAGACTTGTTAATATGGGAGAAACCCCATTAAGACATTAATGGCTTTGAGCCTCAGCTTGTAAGCAGTTGCACAACTTCTACTCTTGTCACTATTATGTACTTCAAGTTTTCAAGGGAAAAAAAAAAGATCCAAAATAAGTTTGTGTATCCACTTGAAAATGAGAATTACCGGTTTTCGTTAATAGTGATGACTGTCTCAAGATACAGCAGTAATTGTGCTAACACCGATTTTATTATTGAGTTAAATTTTTAAAAAGTAACAGAAGGGTCAAAATGGACCCAAAACTGGATGGAAGGCATAGAAGATAAATCACTATAACACATTTGTGATCTTATCTTCAACTGTGACCTGGATCAGGCCATGGAACATCTTCCTGAAGATTTCTAATCTTTGAGTTGGTCTTTCTGCCCTCAAAGAACCATGTTCACACCATTATCTTCTCTATCTTAATTGCTGCTAGCTTTTTGACACTCTCTCAGGATTATTTGGACTAAGAAAACAGATTACATCTGAAATATGTTACACACTAAGACATTTTATTTAACAAGACTAAACAAGTTTGGATTTTATCATAAATGTGGTTTGATGCCCCTAATAAGTATCTGCTATTTACGATCAAAGCGCGTTCCCTCTTTACTGCGTATCCATTCATCTTCATCTAGCATGCATAAAATTCTAAAACAAGAGGCAAACATGCACAAGGAGAAGCAGAAAGGTACCTAGCAAAATGTGTACCAAATTCCCCTACCCAGTACAATAAGAATTATGCAGGTAAACCGAGACGATTTTTCATGAACAGGATCTACTGTTTTCTTTGAATAAAGATTTTCCCTAAAAGAATAAATGACAACAACACATTTTAATGATCAATAAGACAAGACTTTCTAAGCCTGATTACAAAGTTACTTAACTCACAAAATCATAAGACTGCTTCTACTAGAATATTTACGTACCTTCTTTGTTATTTTTATTTCTTTCTTCAGCAAACTCTGAAAGTAACCTGAAAAAAATATAAAAATCAGGTTACTTTGTAGATCCAGATACTGCACTTTTCACATTAAATTCAAATACAACCGGCAAAAATTACACCCTAATTTTATTCCAAGTTTCAGATTCAAACAGATTATTTTTAAAAATAAGTAATATTTAATGTCTAAAATTACTTCAGGTGTATGTATTATGCTACTGAACTGAATCAAAATTCAAATACTATAAATTTAATATTACTAAAGAAAGAATGATCCAAGACAATCGTTTGCATTATTTGAAATTTGGGCTTTGCTACAGATTTGCCTGTACACTTACCATTCATAGTGATCATCTAATAAAAACAATAATTTGAGCACAACTACGATGACTGCTGCAGCAAGAACATCGTATTTCACTTTTCTTGTTGACTTATTTCCAGGCACAAGAGTCAGGAAATCCACTTCTCCAACACAGATCTTTTTCACCACTCGACAAGTCCAATTATGCAATTCATCTGATTAATGCAAATAAAAATATAAAATGACAAGCTAGAAGTACTTCTACAGTGCAAATATGTTGGTATTTGAGGAAAACAATGCTTCAGTCTTTTAGGACCATTAGACAGCAATTTTTTTCACGCTGATAAGTATTTTGGGGTGTTTTTAAAAATACTAGGCAACCTTCACTGTGCTTACATGCGAAAGAGCCATGACGTACTATATATTCACATGGAGAAACAACCTCCCCTTTTTAATAGTGTTTTGATGTTACTCGAATGATGTTGTTAGATCATCCTGAACATTCCTGCGGGAAAACCTATCTTAAAACTACATAAATATAGTTTCAAAAAAACCCAAAAGCTTGTCACAAACTTTTTTCCTGCATGTTGACTAAACACCCATGCAAGGATGGATTCAGTACTGCGAAGAGGAACAGGGGCTAGTTTTAAAGAAGCTAGTTGGTTATGAACAGCAGCCTAATCATGGCAGGGCAGCACTTGCTGCTACCCTGACAAAACCCAGCTGAGGTACAGACAATCCCAGCCTAGGTTAAAACTGGCTTTACATTGTAAAGCCTGGTTGCACCCGCTGGCACAGGTTATGTCAAAAAGATATAACTACAGCTCCAAAAGCAGTACTAAAGTATCTACACAGTCTCTTATTAGTCTATGCTCATTTTTCACAGATACAAATCCCCCAAATTTCTCACCTTTCCTGTTCAGCAAGAAATACAGGAGTTGATTACATCACCATCAGATTCCACAAAGGTTAGCAATGTATGACTAAGTACAACCTTAATCCAGCTACACTTTATACTCTCTTGCTGCTTACAAAGAGTTCAGTAGGAACTAATTTTTAATCCTCTCGCCTATAACAGTAGAAGTTAAAAAAAAAATCTGGAAACCAAATTTTCTTATAAATACTGTCAGTATATTTTCTTTCATTTCAGATACTTAAAATGGCCTTTTCATTAGTATTTAGTGTCCTAAGAAACATTGCCAATCCATTGCTTGCTTTATTTTTTTAGGAGTTGTTAGACAACAGTAGTCCTTTTTCAATTTGTAAAAAGAATGCTTCTACATGATAAAAACTTAGTTGCAAGGAAAAAGTAAAGAACAATATATTCTTCTTCTACAGTAATTTTCAAAGAGTACTTAGCTTTGTATTTCTCTAATAAATCTGAAAGTGCCAAATTTCTAGCTTTTTCTTTGTTTCAATTGATACTTCAAAATCTGAAAAATAATGTGATCCTCTACAGGATCACAACACTGGTGTAAAACTACAAAATTAGAATTTCAGCCCTAAATCTGTTGGATATCTCCTCTTCATTTAACTGTGAGTAAACAGAAAAGCCAAGTAGCTTAACTCAACACAACTAATTGCAAAATAAGACAATAAAACTCCCCAAACTATTAATTGTTGGAATGCTTTGAGGAAAAAAATAATAATATTAATTTACAGGCTATTTGTCTGTATAAGTCATCTTCACTGACAGTGGTATTTGATAGAAACTATGGTAGCCCAACAGACAGTTCACATACTAGGACTTACTAGTCTTTCTTTGGCAATTCAGTATTCAAGACTTAATTTTAGGATAAACAATATTCAATATTTATGCAATATATGAGCTCAAAACTAAATCGAAAATCAAGTGAGACAGTAGCTGATTTGTCACACCGCATTGCTTGTTAATATAAAAATAAATGCTAATATTAAATATTATAGAATATACAGTCAATATTATGTATGAGACAATTCAGTGCTAAGCAATCAGGTCCCAACTTCATGAATCATTTAGCTAAAGTTAATAAATCACATGAATTCAACTTAGTTCACATGGATACAGAAAGATTTGAAATGAAGTATCCACTTCACAACCTTAGAGAGCCAGCACCAGAGTGCCCCTGCATATCTGGGCCTATAATACATACTCTAAATGTTTGATGAAGGTGCTTTCTATATAAATTATCTTTCAGTTCAAGCTTAAATGGGTATAAATCAGAAGGAAAAGAGTAGGCACTTTTAAAGTAGTAATTCAAGTCTTTTTGCTAGAGTTTAATAAACCAAAGAAAAATTTTATCAGTTTGGGTTTGGGAAAGTATTTACCAGGTAAATTAGCTTCCATCAAGTACTTTATGCACAACATGTCTGGATGAAGAAAGCAGCTGTCTGTTATATCTGGAAATCGAGGCAGGTCTAAAAACGCTGCAAGCTCAAGCATTTTGTTGTATACTTCTTCATATACAGGCCACGACTGAAAGACAGGGTTAGAGGGTGTTATACATTTGCTCTATTATCATATTTGTTAATAATTTTAAATTAGTTATCAATGTTAAATTCTGTATTATTTAACACTGAATTATTTATACAGACTCTTTTAGCATTCTCTATGACTAAACATACATGAAAGAATGGAGCCAGACTGCAGTACTGCAAAGAGAAACATGTGCTAGTTTTAAAACCCATGAAACATCTAAGGAACAAACAAAAAGTTGCTTCAGACCTGCAACCAACCCATTACCTTTTTTGTGAAGTGATCAGTGTATCTCCAGATGCTCCAAAATGGAAAGACTGTTGGAAAAAAAAAAACAACCCAGGTGCAATTGAGGGTGAACTCTCTAAAGAGCTAAGAGATCACAGAACCACAGAAGGGTGGAGGTTGGCAGGGACTGCTTGAGATCATCAAGTCCAAGCCCCTGCTTGGGTCAGCTAGAGCAGGCTGCCCAGAACCACATCCAGTCAGATTTTTAATTATCTCCATAGATGGCAGCTCCATAAGGTCTGTGGAAAATCTCCTCCAGTGTTTCACCACCCTCACTGTACAAAAGAAAAAAGGTTGGTTTTCTTTATGCTTGAATGGAATTTCTTGTATTTTAATTTGTGCCCATTTCCTCTCATCCTGTCACTGCATACTACCAAGGAGGATCTGTTTTTTCTCCTTTGCACCCTCCTGCAGGTATCACGTCATACCCGCCCTGAGTCTTCTCTTCTCCATCTCCAGGCTGAACAGTCCCAGCTCTCTCAGTCTCCCCTTGTTTGTCAGATGTTCCGCTCCCTTCATCATCTTCACGGCCCTTTACTGGACTCACTCTGCTATGTCCATATCTCCTTTGTACTGGGGAGCCCAGAACTGGACCCAGCACTCCAGATGTGTCTTGCCAGTGCCGAGTAGAGAGGAAGGATCACCTCCCTTGATCTGCTAGCAGTGCTCTGCCTAATGCAGCCTGGGATGACATTGGTGGTCTTTGCCACAAGGGCACACTGCTGGCTCACAGTCATCTTCACAGCATCTTGTCCACCAGAACTCCCAGGGCCTTCTCTGAAAAGCTGCTTTCCAGCCGGTCAGCCACCCAGCACATGCTGGTGTCTGTGGTTATTATGCAATGCATATATATATATATATCAACAAGAATATGATCAATATGAGGCTAACAGGCCTTTAGTTCCCCAGATCCTCCTTCCTGCCCTTCTTGAAGACAGGGGTGATGTCTGCTTTCTTCCAGTTCTCTAGAAACTCCCCCAGTCACCCTGACTTTTCAAAAATTATTGACAGTGTGCTTGCAATGACACTAGCCAGTCCCCTCAGCACTTACAGCAGCATCCCATCACGGCCCGTGAACCTTCATATGTCCAGTTTGTTTATATATTCCCTAACCTGCTCCTTCTCCACCAAGGGTAAGTCTGCCTTCCCCTAGACTTTCCCACTGGTTTCAAGGACCTGGGATTGGTGAAGGCCATTCTTATCAGCAAAGACTGAGGCAAAAATAGCATTCATCACCTTAGCCTTCTCCTTAGTCTTTGTGACCATGTCCCCATTCCCATTCAGCAGCAGGCCCACATTCTCTAGAACCTTTCCACAGAATTTTCAGTAGAACTTCATTTTAAAAAAATATTTAATTCCATATTTACATATTTATTCATGAAATTAAATCTGCTATTCTCTTTGCAAAACTATTGACTGCATGAATAAAGTTCTCCCAATTTCTACCAAGATTTTCCTGCTAGAGAAGAATATAACTTGCAGACAGATTTTGACATACTTCTTCATAATGAACTCAGCAGGACCTGAAGTTTCCGTAAGTATGGACTGTAAGGTTTGACCCTCATTTCTTAATACCTGACCTGTTTCATTAAACATTCTTAGTTGTCTGTATTTTAAATCATTACTTGAGTTTACCTCTTAAAGTGATAACTTTCACTGCTTCAGGCTACTTTACCATTTTAAACGTATAAAAAGCAATGCTTTTTCTGCTTTAGTTGGTGGTTCTAATTCAGCAGAGCACTTTATCACATATTTATATTTTATCAAGTCAATTTGTGCATAAGATACTTTCCTTTAAATGGAATTTAGCAGGGGTTTACACTTTGTGCACAAGTTCAAAACTTTCCTGAACAAGAGTGAATTCAGGCTTCTGGGTTTTTTATAGACCAGATTAAAAACAGAGCAATCACGTTTACAAAAAGAAGACTGAAATAATGTGTTTTTATTCAATCATTTGGTTTCATCTATTTTAATATAAGCTATGTAGCCAATGCTCACATTTTATTGTTTTGAATGACTGCCAACATTTCCTTTTTTTAAATGATCTCCCCTCAGACTGCAGTTCAGACTTGCTTAACTGCATGAACACATGCTTAAGCAAATGAATAATTCTGCTGTCACTTACTGTTACACATGCAACTTTTTGTAACAGTTAGGAAGTTGTATCATGTTCATCATATTTTCTAAACAGTTTCTAAACAGCAAGTCTAAAAATTGGCTTAGAGTGCTACAGGACTATCTTGAGAAACAAGAAAAACATGCATTACCAGACTTCTACAGAAGACCAGGCTCACAGTACTTTCCGTTCCTCTTAAAAAGCAGTGCTAAATTGAATACCAAAACAATCTTGGAAGAAAACATGAATCACATGTAACTTCTCTTGATTGTATTTGGGGAAAAATTAAAGTCCCAGATAATTCAAGTAAAAGCATTACATAAATATTATTCCTAATTAGATATAAAGGAAATATGTTTTTTCCTTTAATGAAAAGCAGTTAATTAGTAGCTTCTTAATAATATATCAGAGATGAAAATAAATTAAGACACTCTGAATTCAGTCATTTGAAGCATTCCCATTCTCAAACATTGAACTATCTCCAGTGAAGCTATCTGAAGAGTCGAATTAACACAGAGGTACTATAAGGATTATAGCTTTTAATTGGAGGACTCAAGGTAGACACCTATATCACCTTATACCTGAGCTTCTCTCACTGTATCAAGGTAAGGAGACAGCTTTCCTATCCTAGGTGCTAATGAATCATCCCTTCCTCCTCATGCCCAACACTGACTTTTGTTTCAAAGCTTTTGTTTGCGATTTAGAGAAGGCAATTTGGTTCTTTTTCAAAATGGCTAGAAAACACTCTGCTTTGCAACGACAACTGATGCTTTCTTTTTTTTTAAAGGGCAAACACAAGTGTTGTAAAAACGACAAATAAAAATTAATACCAAGAGCTATCACTTGGCTTATTTTAAGAAGAGTGTTAACAGACAAAAACTATTCTTAGCTGATCTGTGTTCATAAAGAGTTGTAAACACAATTGGGACATGCAGATCTAGGAAGGGCATACTAATCCACCATAAAGATCAACCAAATCAATTGTTACTTTCCAGGGCTTAATGGAAAGCTTAAGCTCAAAAACATTCACTCTAGTACTTGTGTTTCTACAACACAGCACTGAGTCATGACGATGCAAGTTGAACCAAACACCATGCTTCCAGAAGTACGCAGTAATCTCTTGAAGTGTAAACTGCAAGCATAAGCGGGATCCAACACAAGATCACATCTCAGTAGGACACATCATAACAAAGGGCTGAAGGCTGAAAGGTTGAGGAGACTGTAGACTTACTTCACTTATCAAGCACTGATAATTTTTACCAGTCACTACATACCCTGTTTAATTCTGAAAAAGCTGAGAGTTCATACAGCGAATCTCTTATTCTGCAAAGTTTCATACATACTGCGGGGGTTAAAACAGAAAGAACACCCAAATTCCACACAACCAACATAGCAAATGTTAGGACAGTATTAAAAAGCAAAATAAAGCAAATAAGCAGCCCCCAAATTAATAAAAGTTATCACCTTCTGCCTAGCTATATATCTCCACCAGAGGAAAAGAACCTGATAAAACAAGTTGCACTGAAAGTCAACCAGCAAATCAACTGGGAAAGCAAGATCCAGAGCTGGGGCCTCCCTCCTTCAGGTGAAAAAACTCTGCCTCCAGCACCCCATGATTAAACCCCAAGGGAGGAGTACTTGGACAAGAGAGGACAGTGTTAGATCATACACCACACACTCTCCAAGTATAACTTTCACTTATCTAATCATAAACTAAAAAATTTTGCGTTACATATTTTCAAGTTGTATTTCTGTGCTAAATATTAGGACAACCCCTGTGTCCATCAGCACATGGAGTTACTGAGCTCTCACCTTGTTTCGAGAACCTGGGAAACACTCCACACATAAAATTCAGCTACAAACCCTTGAGGGCACTTAATTTCAGGAAGACTGACAGAAAATCCTTTTATAGTTATGCCACCTGCTAGCCTTTTCATGTGTTTTGCAAGCTGGGATTTCTTCAAGACTGATGAACAATGCTGAGAGAGCCTATAACTTGTCTAGATTGGGTACAGAGGTTATCGAGAACTTTTCTTAACAGCTTTGTCTTCAAAATATTTGTATCTTATTCCCACATGTGACAAATAAGGTAGCTTCAGGTCTTCTCCAGAAAGCAGTACAGAAGATTAGTACTACTTGAGAACACTTTTTTCTTTTCTTTCCCTCCCTACTGACTTCAGCTGAGCATAGAACAAAATACACACTGTTGAGTAGGTGAAGAAGTGTCTAGAACAAGATTTTCATTATGATAAATATTCATTAGACTATTTAAATCGATTGCCTTTATCTTTCAAAGTTACATGGAATTTTTCACCTGTATTAGAAAAGAACAAGCTGGTTTTCAGAAGCAGATGAGCCAAACTATTAGCATGATAATCAGATCACAGTAACAGGTAATTGTTTTGGGTAAGCCAAGATTGCAGCCTCTCCTACTTGTTTGGACAATATCAGAATGTTGCTGATCAACAAGTAGAAAAGTATGCATTGGCTGGCTTTCTAGATTAATTTGCAGGCTCCATAGCTTCTTGTTTTAAATGTGGTCTGACTGACTCTCTTCTTAGATGACTGTATAGGCCGTTTCCTTCTCCTGTATCAG